AACGTGAAGCGCAGCCTGGCACAGCCAGTGCTGACCAACCCGCCGCCGAGGTTTCGTTTCAACATCGAAAGTGCGGGCGAAGCCTCGGCCCAAGGCGGGGTTCACTCCCCTGCGGATTCGGCGCCTGCGAGTGAGAAACAGGCAGAGCAGAGCGAGAAGGAAGACACGGTGGTTGACCCGCCTGACGCTCCGTCTATGCCCTCAAAAGATTTCGGAAGTGAAGACCGCTGTCGACACTAATGACCGTGGCCCGAGGCCCTCTGGACACCCACTTCGGGGCATATTCAGACCGTGCCCGGCTTTCGCTGGCAGGCGAATTGGCGCGGCTCTGGCACGCGCGCCCTGGTGGGGGCCGACTTCGTGGAACTAGACTCTTGACGGGGAAGGAAGTCGCGCGCGTTCATGCGGATTTGACCGCCCGAGCGACGCGGTATGTGGAAGAAACTCGGAAAGGAGACAACGAACCATAATGATATTCATTGCCTTGCAAGAATTGGACCAACTTGATATGAACATTCATTGTTGACCGTTACGAGGAGTTCAGAATATCCCACGAGATCCCCAAGACACTGGGAGCTGCTGAATCCGTCGCGCAGCCCAGTTTAACCGCGCTGTCGACGACGCAAAAGATGATTCAGTTGGCGAAGAAGAGCGCGGTCCTGCGAGTCCGACCTCACCAGCTGATACGCCGCTGAGCATCCCACGTAAGGAAGATGTTTTATCTGTCTGCGCAGCTGGGCGAGGACGCTATCGCCGAACCGGGGCCGATCAATTGGTCTGCTCGCGTGGATGTCCAGCGCTCTCCAGAATATAATCAGCGTCGCCCGATGGAACGGCCCCCCCCCCCCCCCCCCGGACGGGGGGGAACCGTTAATCGTGCAATCTTGTCCAGTGGAGGCACGGATCTGTGCCTCGGAGATGCCGAGCGAGGGGGCGTGCGTCAGAGAACGCCTCAGGATCTTCGAAGGAAGATTTTCGAATCTTATAGGGCTCGCCCAGTGCCGCCACGCGTGTCAGCGATTCGCGGACGCATTTACGACGCTGTTCGAGAAAATTCCGAATTGGCCCGCGATCCCGCGTTTGCGTTGTTGGGCGAGCTTTCGGGGGGAGCAATCTCATTCCTTCGGGCAGAATATGACTCGGACGATTAGCCGGACAATCTGCCCTGGACGACCTATGCAGCGCTGTCCCCGCTCGCGATGCCCACCGACGCTCCTGGCTTAGCCGGCGCAGCAGGAATGGGCGCTGAGAACCCACTCGCGTTGGGAAGTGACAAATTCTGGAGGCGGCGCAGTCAGCGAAACAACGGGGCAGCAGTTGGCGTCGGGAAACATGCGGCTTATCTAGCAAGACACTGTTTGGATTTTGCTCGGTCGTCCGGGGGGTGGGTGTACTTCGGAGACCTCATTGATAAAATGGAAGCTGGTGGACCAACGCACTGCGCGACTGCCCTGGCGGTGCGCGGTGTAGCCGCTTTGCCGCTCGGAACCGTGGTAGTCCTCGGATTCGAGGCCCGGGAACTCGTCGTCCTGGGGAGCTCAGAGCTTGCGGATCATTGGCGAGACTTCCTTAATCCACCTACCTATCACGACTCAGTCCTTTGGGGGGGGGGGGGAGGGGGGCAGCGAGGAGGAAACGGCTTCCGTAGATAAAGACGAGCGTGAGGAAACGGCTTCCGTAGATAAAGACGAGCGTGAACGCAGACCAATCCTTGTTTTCTATCGCGCATGTCAGGAGCGCTCATGTTTCGTTCCCAACATCGAGCGCATGTGCGCTCCGTTTGAACCCGGCCTGGCGAAAGGCCATGGGCCGCTCTTGCGCGCGGCAGGTCTCGAAGTCATCGAGGATTCGATGGCTGGAGAAGGGATCGTTTGATTCCATGGCAAAGCTGAAAGACTATGCAAGGAAGATGACCGCGGACTTCTTCGGCGCATTCCGACGTTGCGTGGCTTCCCAGAAGAACAGACTGAGCGTATCCCCCCTAGGGCTCAGCCAGCGGAGGGATGGGGGGCTCCGCCGCCCGCCAATTACTTGAGTCTGGTCTCTGGCCCGAAAGCAGGGGCCCCCGCGTTCAGGTTCGTGGCCGGCTAACGTCACGCCAGTGCTCTGGGAACTTGTAAGTGCACGCGATGCTAGTTGGTATTATGCCATTGTCTTTAACGGGCGCGTAGCGGGACGCCTCCGATGCCGAATTTGTCGCGACGGCGCGCTTGTGGCGACGGGGGGGGGGGGGGGCGAGATTCAGCGACGAAGCTCGGACTGGAAAGTTGAACCCTGTCCCGGATTCTACACCGCAGGCGGTTTGGATTTTTTCCCCCAAGAATGGACTGCCTTCGAAGCTGTGTTCGCCCGTGATTCAATCATCGGGGAGGCGCGCGCTGGTGAAGTGATTCGGTCCGATGACAAGCGGTGGGGCGAGGAAGAGCTCGAGCTCTTGGGGGGCCCGCTGTGGACCGACGACGGGGGATTCATTTGCAGGAGATTTCATTCTGTGCGAGCAGGGCTGGGTGATTGCCTCCATTGCCAGACGAAGGTTCAATTTCGTTACATCGTGCAGCAGAGTTTTTTTTATGAACCCCGGCAAACAAGGTGTTGCTGCCTCCTTTGCGAGCACGGGGGTGGGCATCTACATTGTAGATTGTCCGAGACACGGGAGCGAGTCGCTCGTGGCCGGAGAGGATTGAAGAACGTGAAACGGAGCTCCAATGATGCATTGGACAATTTGAACCGGAGCGAACAGCATATGCGCAAATGGGTTGCGGATAAGAACGTAGCTCGCATAACTTTTTCTGCGGGAGGTCCGACCCTCTCCAACCAGCAGCCAGGAAACGCCCCGACCTGGATTCCTGATAGTGCTGCGGTTCAGCCGCCAGCACGTCGCGAACCAATCTTCCAGTTCCTTGAGCCATTGAAGCTTCGCTGTATGAGTTGGCTCGTGCGCGGTGCTAAACTGGAGAACAAACGGCCTCGAACTGCGGCGGCATGGTGGCCATTGGTGTGGTCTTCCGACGTCGATCAGTATGCTCGCCCCGTCTGGTGTCCTGCTCTTGCCGTCTTCGACTGGCCCGATGCAGAAGATGAGCTAGCCCAGCCAACTGAAGGGCGGAATGAGTGGGCGGCGAACATGCGAGGAACGGGCGTGGCAATCCCAACAGTAGATGCGCTCGCCGAACGATTAAATCGCATCTATGCGCAAGTTTCAGTTATTGTTGGAGATACCAAGTATCAAGCCATTGCATCGCTTTGCGCCCGGCCCAGCTGGAAGGCATATTCAATTTTGGCTCGTGATAAATTTGCAGAAAGATGAGGGGGAGTTCTGCGCGGAGGCCCTGTTGCAACGCGTTTTACCGAGCAGGTCGGCTTAGCCAAACCTTCCTTGCAGCTCCCAGCGACCCTGTCGCGTCGGGAAGTAGTGTCGAGCACTCTGGTGGCCCAACAGCCCCGGGTGCGGGCGCCGATGCCCCTGGCGGCTCTGCCGCGTCGGAGTGGGACAAGACGAAAACTGGCGAAAACATGCGGAGCCCCCAAACAATTCCGAGGCGCCCTACTAGTGCCGCAGAGGGCGCTCGGCCTGGCCGGCATGAAAGACGCGCCTAGAGGCGCGGCCCGTGCAACCCAGTGCCCCCCGGCTCAGCCGCGTCGGGCACCGACCCTGATCGGGGTCATAGGTCGCGTGGATCTCCTGCTGAACGGAAAGAGTGGGATCGGCCGTTCGCGCGGGCTGATGGGCCCGTAGATGATGCAGGCGGCCGCGGGCGCGATGGCGACTGGGGCCCCTCGCGGGCCATGCCGACAAGGGCGGCCGCGGGAGAGTCGCTGGACAGTGGGCCGATGTTGATCGCCATCGACAAATATCGGGGAGTGAAAGAACATGGCACTGGTTCGCCGTGGTGGAGTATAACAGACACTTCGCGAGAGATCCCGAGGAGGAGTCGCGGGGAGAAGACTGGGCGCTCCGCCGACAGGCTTAACTGGACAAGTACCTGCGGGGGGCCCAGTCTTCGAATCTCAAGCTCGCCAGGCACTGGGAACTGCCGCTGCGTCCTTGCCCGCGCCGCCGCCGCCGCCGGCGCCGAGGGCGGGGCTGGCCGACGAGGGCGGGGGCAAGGGCGATGACATCGGCTGGGGTCGTGGAAAAGGCAAGGAACCTCACGACCACCGCCAGCGAGGCCAACCTCAGTGGATCTGGCGAAATTGCCATGATTGGAATCATCCTCAACGCCGAGAAGAAGAGTGGCGGGGGTGATGTATTGCAGTCGGACTGGTACGACTTCGTCGGCATCAGTCCCACGTCGCCTGGCTTCGCCAACGTGATGTGGGTGCGACAGAAGTGGGTCATCTTTGTGGAATGAGCTGGCTTTCGATATAGCTCTGGTGGGGTACATCGGGTTGTTTCGGCCTAGCGCCCCTCGGCAACCACGGTCGAGCCGTGAAATGTTTCTGGGGGTTGGCTCCCGTGGCCGTGCATATGTACAGGCCAAGTGGGTGGGGGGTCGGCGCAGCCCTACTCACCCCGCCGCGGGGGGAGTCAAAGCGCTCCTCTCCGCACCACCATCCTGTTGCCCTTGCCATCATTGTTGTTGTATTGACTGTCTGCTTGCAGCCACTCATATTCGAGAGGTATAGGAAGAAGGAACGTGCTGGCCCGCGCGCGCGTCGGCCGGCCAGCCGGCCTCCTCCCTGCACACATATCTCTCTTGTCCGCTTAACGGAACACGCTCCCCTTTTCTTTTTTATTTTTTTTTTTTCCTTGCCTGGTTTCGGCGGGCCCCACTCAGCCTTTCCTCGGCGGGAGGTACCTTCGGGGGTCACCGAGACTACATCGGACCTAATGCAGGGATTCTCAAACATCCAGGCAACAACCTGGATGGAGGAGGACGAGGAGGAGGAGGAGGGAGGATGGAGGAGGAGGAGGAGGAGGAGGAGGGGAGGAGGAGGAGGAGGAGGAGGAGGAGGAGGGATGATAATCCGGGGCGCAGCGAGCCCCGCGCCCGCCCCAGGACGCCGCGGCTCTGGGCCCGACGCCGCCGCTGCGGAGCCACGCCCGCCTCGGGCCAACCGCGCCGCCGCCGGGGAGGGCCAGGCCGCCCGGGCGCGCGCGCGCCGCGCGCGCGCCGCGCGGCCCCGGATTTCTCGAGTTGGGGGTCGACTGCAGAGCTGATTTGCCCCGGGCATCGGCGGCGAGCCAGGGGCTCTGCGGCGTGCGAGGGGGGGGGGGGGGGGGGGGGGGGGGAGTTTCGGGCTCGAGGTTCGAGGTTCTCGGGCGCTTTCGTTGGTTCTCGGCGGTTACCCGGCCTCCGGATGCTCGGCAGCAGCTGCGCCTCGCCGCGGGCGTTTGGGGGGTGCCCACAGCGTCCTGAACGCCCGCCGTGGACCCGATATGTGACCCCAAAATCAGATTCGGCAGCGAGTAAGGGGGGAAATGTGAGGGAGAAGGCCTTCTCGGAAACCGCCAGGGCTTCTCAGAGGCCCTCCGGCCTTCCGAGAAACCCTTTGTGTCTTTTCTGAGAAGGTTTCGAGGACTTTTCAGAAGGCCGGGGAACACGCGGGCCTTCTGAGAAGGCCCGCCCCTTCGCACTTCCCCCCGGGCTCGCCGATGACTGTTCGTCGAATCAGCAAGGCAAATTTGTAGAATTTTCGCAAATCTACGGACATTCGGAGTATTTTTTGGGCGGGTCCGACGGACATGTGAGTTTTTCAGGTGGATCAATTCTGTAACCGATCTCCTTTTCGAAACACATGATGTTTTCATTTTTTCAGGAAGGCCTCTCCGTAAGTCCCAAACATTTGGCGGCGGAAACGCCCGTCGTGAAGCAACTGCAACGTCCGGATCTAAGGGCTCGTCCACCACAGGAGGCCACAGGGCCCCCCCCGGAACCCTCCGACCCCAGTCCCCGGACGTCATGATTTTTCCTCACGTCGACCCCCAGGGGTCCCGAGCTGGCTGTTTTTGACGGTATTTACCGGGGCCCGGAAAGGGCTCCTGGAGGCCGAAACTTGAGAAAGGCTTCCGTCCTGACTGTATATGAGGGAGCTGCACGTCTGGCCTCCCGCGCTTTCGGCGCCTGCAGCCCTGACGAAGGTCCTTTGATATGGCCGTGACGCCAGCCCGCGTCCGTGGCCCTGGCTCCGCAGCCCCGGCTGGCCGCTTCGGCGCGCTCGACGTGACATTTTTGCACCAGTGAGCGGCCTCCTCCGCTCCCTCCGCGGCAGCTTTCTGCCCCTGCCTTCCCGCGCCCCATTCCTGCATCTGGACCATTCGGTTGTCCAACGCATCCGGCCACTGTGAGCGCCCGTGCGGATTGGACTGCCTCTGCCGTGCTGCGACGGCAAAGCGTCTGGGGTCCCAGACACCTGGCGTCATGATTTTTTCGCGACGTCGACCCCCAGCGGTCTGGACCCCTTCCCCGGGACCGGTTTCTCTTCCTGAGTCGTTTCTGGAAGGCCCCGAGGCCCGGCGAGGCCCCCCGAGGCCAAGAATAGAGAAAAAAACCCATGTCGTGGCCCGCGCGGCCCCGGCCCCGGCGTCGGTCGCCGCACCTGCGCACCAACCGTGGCCCTTGCCTCCTCCTCCTCCTCCGCCTCCTCCTCCTCTTCCTCCTCCTCCTCCTCTGTCCCCCTCCTCCTCCTCCTCCTCCTCCTCCT